GAAACCATATTTTGATTATAATAAAGATTATTGTCAAATATGCAATGTTATCTGAGGCCAAATAGACATTTATGATTTTTATACATATACACACACACACGCATACACACACACACACACACATATGTATATATATTGTCATATATATCTGTTTGTATACGGATGTACAGATTGTAATGACCAGATCCAATACACAGAGGAAGTATAAATCTTAAGTAAACCGCGAGTTTATTTATGTATAGGGAATAGTTTTAAAGAAGCTATAAATTTTTATCCGTCACTAAACAATACTTAACGATGTTTTAAACTATCGACACGTGTTAACCCGTTGTTAATGTTGCCGGTTAAAATTAACTGTAAGGCTGCTTGCACACTAACATTTAGTAGCTATTGTTATAAATGAAAGTTTCGTATAGTAATTAAAATAAGACTTTCGTTTCTCTTCACAATATCGATTTAAATTAATTTGAGAAATAATAAAGTTAATTTAGAAATAGTAGAAGAATGTCTCAAAGATTTAATTTTCAATTAATTTCATAATTTTTTTTTTGTTAACATTGTCTTAAAATATCCGAACAACGTCCCTGCCTTTTATTTCGTTAAACTGTTAATTTATTTATCTCCAAAACCATTAACATCTAAATGTTTTAAATATTCCTTCCATTCGGAGCATTAATTATACATAAAATGTCACTTCTGACCGTTTATTATACCAGCACTTAGCGAACGAAGCCGCGTTACCGAAATAGTTCACCGCGTATAAAGGATGAGACTTCAAATGTTACCCTTCAAATATAATGTATATTTATGTTACTGAGTGTTACGTAACAAGAAAAAATGTTCAAGCTTATAGTTATTAAATTTATTCAAGGGAAAATTAATTATCTTTTCCCTGAACAGAATTCTATTAAGCAAAAGACCCACGGAGCTGGAGAAAAACAAACTTGAAAATCACTTGTGTATCTTTGACTGAGGAAGAGAGTTAATCATATCATAATGGGAAAAATCTTAGCCGTTGTATTTAACAGACGAAAGTTATTTATAAGTTTAGACGAGTCCAATTTTTAGGGTAATATAATTTACCTTTTAATTTTACTTTAATAACATTAAATAAAACTACTTAAAATCAAATAAAGATTCACGTAATGTGTACGCATCATATAAAAGACTAGATTATTTGGAATACAATACTTTTAAGAATGCAAAGTATAATATATAATGACGATTATCCGCTTATCTTAAATTACATTATGCATTTCTAGAAATTACCTTTGTTGGTGTCCAAGAACAAAACAAACGCCTCATCGTCATTTCCTAGTATTAAATATGAAGTACTTGTGAGTTTTAGTTGCCTACCTGATACCCAGTCTCATGTACCTTTTTAGGAGTATTTTAAAACTATTGCAGCAAACTACAATTCTAGGTCCGAAAAACGTTGCAAATAATGTATGTGTAGTTCTCAGTGAGGGAAATAGACTAGGAATACTTTATGAGGCTAAGGTTACAGAGTTGTTCTGAACTGTTGTTTCGTTGAAACCTGTTTAAACTTTTATAATATTTAGTTTTTATCTCAAACATATGTACATAGCTTCTGTTGATGTTCAAGAGATTATTAAAGTTGCAATGTTCTAACCAAAATTATATGGAATTATGATAAGGCTACTTGTGAAGTCATATTTGTATTAATGAATCTTTTGATGATATACGTGAAGGAAAATCGTTCCTAATTTTGTTGTTTATTTCTATTATTTCTCAATTTATAATGTAATGAATTTTCGATTCCGTTTTTATTTTATTCCTGGGTGTTTATTTATTGTGACTTGACTTGTTATCTATAGTTATGACCTACAGTTTCTTGACCCTATTTTATTCGATAGAAACGAGACTTTACAGAAATTTGCAAATTTATAGCAGCCGCAAGCTAACCGAGTATCCGTTTGAAGATGTCCATTGAAACAAAGCTACCAACTAACAAAACCTAAAGCCTAAGTCAAGACAAGATGGAAATTTCTCAAAATTTCCGACATTAAATTCTATTAGCGAGATATTGAATCAGGAATTCTGTTAAAACCTTTTGTGCTACACAATTTCCTTCGACAGGAAAGGGTGGGAAAAAAACTTTGAACCAATTAAAGAAATCAATTGATGTCTGCGCCTAATTGAAGTGTTCCCGGGCAAATGGTGCGGGCAGGGAGCTGTAAGGAACGCAAATTTATATAAGAATTTTGATCGCATGCTGTGATTTTTATTTTATAATTCATAGGAAATTTCCAATAATATATAAATTGAATTTAACTAATTGTTAAATCTATGGACTTTCTTGATGTATACGATCTTTTATAAATATGAAATTTATATTATAATAATCATATAAATAACAAAAATTAAAAACAATATGAAATAATTCCATATCCATAAAGCTCGATACAATAAAATATTACACTAATAAAGGTAATTTATTTAATGGGAATTTTTAATTCATTGACAATAATATGAATAAACTTTTTCCCTTTTTTCATGATATTTCATAATAGACAAATTACGACAATAAGCTAGCTGTAAAGAATTCCTCAAACAGTATTACTGCGGTCGTAATTTTCAGCGATTTCTTTTGATTGATTCATCGTGACTCAATGTTGAATGCGCAAGCGCATAGCGACTGAATCACGCGTACTAACCGGTTTCCGACCGCTTTGTTTGATAGATAATTTTAATAAAAACAAATTGTTTTTTTTATATTTACGTAATTTTTATTTCGTCGTAATTTGATTTTATTAACCGAATGTCTGGAACCAATTTTAGAGTTACAATACCAGATCTTCATGATCTAATAACAGCACGTAGGGATGTACCTTATCTATATGGCTGCATTACCATATAGATAATAGTTAGTTTTTAGTCACTAGTGATGGACCCCTTTTTTCTGTTTTTATAAATAGTGATTGTCATTTTAATATCATATTTCATGAACGTTGAAAAAAATTAAACGAAAAGAATTTTTCTTCTAAGTTACGTATTCTTAAGCATTATATTTGTTTCTATTTATTCTGCTTTCTGTGTGAATTTCATTACTTTATTGAAGTTACATAACAATATAACGTTACTTTGATTTGAAGAAGACAACGAAAATAATAAAGTTCCCAAAATGTATCTTCATGAGTAAATAATTGAATTCCTTCTGTTACTGAAATACCGTATACTTATCTCTGAAACACAAAGAATGGTACAAGCTAACATTCCTATGTTGGACCCTTTTTAATATAGTCTATAATTAGTTTGAAGATACAGAGACTTAGATTTGTATTTCGTAATTAATGTCTCTTTGTTTCATGATGTTTAATAAAGACTATTTGACATAAAATTAATATTAATGCTATATAATTATGATTCAAAATATCTTATTTTATTAGTACTCAATGTCAATTAAAAAGATTTTCTCGAAATTATTGTTTTGATACGTATTTAATCAAAAGGCAACTTGTCATATAATAAGTAGTGTCCCGAATTAAAACGGAGTTACATAATAAAATTCTTTGACTTATATCTGCTTATATGATAAGTTAATAAAATTTAGTAAGGGTTAAACCCTCGGGTCTGAAGATCATCTGTGATCCTCTGGGTTTTTGGGTGTACTATCGCAAAACTATCCGCTTGTATTTAATTGAGGGATAAAGAATATTTAACTTTATGTAAATAATATATATGGTATATGGATTTAATATAAAGGTGTGTTTATACTGAAAATGTGTTTTAATTAAGATGATTATATAGTAGAATGTTTAAATCTTTAAGCATTCTAATAGAATCTTTGTATGTATAATATTCTTTATAATTCTTGATAGTACATATATTGTGAAAGTTAGAGAAACTATTGTTTTAAAAATAGGTTCAAGGTTGCATTGACCTGATAAGAACGTATCAAATATATAGTGGATTAGATTTGGGTAAGAATATTATTTAACAAAAATTATTCTTCTCAAATCTAAAAGAAATATAAGTAAGGAAATTTTAAATATTATATGCATCACTTCGTTAATATTTTTTCAGTAACACATAGTTTTATATGTGTATATAATTAAATATTTTTAAGACACGGATTGTTAGCGTCTCGATTGATAGAATTGTATATAAATTGTTTGTAAAAAATAAAAAAAACTTCATTGTGGTATAAAACAATAACTCAATTAAATGAAGCTTATAATAGCGTTAAGTGTAAATAATTTTGTGTTCCAAAAACTTAATTACTATATTGAGTACGAGTAATCTTTGAAAATCTCAATTACCATAAGTTTCAATCGCCACACTACGTACGCTGCGTTTAGAGTATTTTGTTTATACATTTCCGTAAATGTACGAATTTCTCCGTATTTATTTTGACGAAGCAGATTTGAACTAATACGTTGAGATTTGGTTCATTATAAGGCAGAATTTTTCTTCATTTACTAATAAAATGTACTTGATTATTATAATAATAGTAAGTACACTAAATGACGTGAAACGAAGTCTTTCAATGAGAATTTCTTTGAATTTTTTAACGCCTTTAATTAAGGCAAAGCAATACTAATAATAAAAAATGAACTCAAAAAAACTTAATATTCTGTTTCTATAACAATAACATGCGGAGCACCAAACTTATTTGGACTGTAATAATATACATTTGAGTTGAAATTTGATTGACCTTTGAACGTGACTAATGCGTTAAGGTTGCGGTCTTATTGCGGGCGGAAATTGAGTTTTGATGTAAAAAAAACTTACTTCATTTGTTCTCACTAATTTGTACCTATAAATAAAATTGCAGTGGTTTTTCATCATCGGGTAGCCTATATAATTAATGTGGTATATTATAAATGTTTGTTTGTCTGTCAATTCCACGTCAACTTGGTAACATAGTTAGCAGCGGTGTAGTGCTTGTCTTTCATAAATACATCACGGAACATACGTAAGTAACACTGTTCAACTGGCTGTGTTTCTAACTACATTGAAAGCTAAAACAATAAAGCATGCAATATCTCAGTTTAGTTTCGTACCGTAGCCTTAAGACAGAAGTAGGTCGTACAACAAAGCCCCGCTTATATATTCCGTATATCAAGTAACGAAATACTATTGAACCGGCGTTAGTAACAATGCTTCAGAGACGAACTTGATGAATAGTGGACGTTATAAACAAGATGTTACGTATTTGTAACCTGTTCGGTTAATTGATGGAATTTTTATCGCAATTTAACCTATTCGATACCTCTAAGAATTTTATCTGACTTTATAAGTTATAATACTTGATAGATGTTATATGTATGTTTGTTTTGTTACAGCCGATCCTCTCCCCGGTAAGCACGTGCCGTTGGAGAGCTATGAAAGTGAACTGGAAAGAGAACATGCTTTACCCACGTCCGTACCGAACGCTGACATACTCAAGACTAACAGCAATCCTACCTACCACAAGCCCAGGTAAGCATAGCATCTAATTCATCAATATCGTGATTGGTCGAAATTTAACATCACCATTCATCTGATTGGACATATCTTGATTAACCGTCACTTCTAAAGTCTCGAACGCATCACGAGTGTCAAAGTTATTTATTATAAATTAATTTATTATAATCCATTGTTATATGAATTAACGAGTTATAAAGCAAAGCGAGAGATTCTTAATCAAAGATTTAAACTGTATGAAAAGCTTGAACTTTTTAAGGGCCCTTCAAACTTAAATATTGACAAGACGAGTGTTTGCAGGTAAAATTTCGGATATAAAAAAAGTTTCGTAATAATTTTACAGTTGAGTTCATTAAATTACAATAAATTTTATATAGTTGAATAACTTTTATTAGTTTTTAATAATTTATAAAGCAAGCTCTATCAACTATCATCTCGCCTCGACCCGTTACAAGCCGTATCTTTAATCGGTATTTTATCTTAAGTTTTAGATGTCCGATAAATGCTTCTTAAAGATTTCTCTTAACCTTGATAATGTAAAAAAACTGTACAGATGTGATCTTATTTTGTTTTATGTGTGTGTGAGTACGTCTGTGTCTGTGTATGTGTGTGTATGTGCTACTGTAATGATAGTTTCCGAGTATAACCTAAATTACAAACTTATTTTTTTTATTAATATCATCAGTTGAAACATTTCATTATTATACTAAAAGTGTGAATTATATCTGAAAAATATTTAAATATTACCCAAATATTTAATACTAGTTTTTGCCCGCGACCTCGTCCGCGTTAGTTTGGTCAAGAGTAATATATGTAGGTATAGCTGACCAGGCGAACTCTATTACATCTTAGAGGCCATAAATAATCATTTTTTTCCCGTTTTAATCAAACAGAAGGATTGACATAGTATTAGTTAGTTGTCAAATCTAATGTCAAAAAAAATGTTTGTATGGGAAATAGAAAAGGGCTGTTTTTAAGGTTTTCCCGGCAATTATTCCAATTTTTCTCACCTTTTAAACCTTTCCTGGACTTCCAGGAGTATTTCAAGACTAAAATTAGCCAAATCGGTTCAGCCGTTCTTTAGTTTTAGCGAGACTAAGGAACAGCAATCCATTTTTATATATATAGAAGATTATATTATTCAAATAATACTTTATTATAACTTTTAATAAGCAATTTGTATTATTTTCCCCGTTACTTCGAGCATATTTTACTTATATGAATGATTTCTGAACTCAATAACAATAAAATAAATATAGCCATAGCTTTTGTTGCAAATTGAAATACATTCCTTGTACTGTAAAGAATTTATAATAACGATTCCTATAACAATCTACGTATGTCAATATAAACTTTATTATTATAGAACTAAAGACGGTTTCAGCTTGTACAGAATGAATACTGCGTAGGCCGTAACCCGCGTTTTAAGTTTAAAGTTTCTATGAATTTGATAAATCTCGAACTTTATATAACAGTATGGAAGATTTAAATAGAAATTTATTTATAATGTTTAAATTTATTTATAAATTAAATTAACATTTAATAAATCGTATTTAAATTTAACATATTGATTTAAATTTGAACATTAAAAACTCTTTGAGAATTTAAAGTCTAATTGTATATTTTTCTTTATATTTATTTAGACTTATTTCTGTACTAACGTTGGTCTAATTGAAATAACTTTTTGGATGGACACGTAAATGAAGACTTCAAATTTATTTCATATATGTATATAGTATGATGTGATATGATAATTTATTATATATTTTAACAAAAATAATGGCATAAAATCAGAATATTTATACACGTATATATACATATATTATTCATATATTTATAGTCGTTTAAAAGCCGACAGTCATCTCAGCATTATTCAGTGTTTCTATCAATCACAAAGTTTTGAAGTATTGATAACAACCCGCTGGGTTATATTAAAAATGAATTTTGGGAAGACTGGCGAATGCTCCCTCATCTGTCTTGACTATCGAATTTTATCTCGAGCGTACGAAATATGGGAAATATATTATGTTTTTTATATATGAAATTCACCATTCACATATAATATATATTTGAATTATTTAAAATATTTATTTATGCTTGTATAATATACGTATTCTTTTGTATATTCGATGTAATTAAATTTTTTTACTTTCGTAAACTTTTATTGTATGTATTTATAATGGAAAGTAGTTTTAAACCAACACATATATTGTATGTAAAATAAATATAAATATATATGTATAATAGTTTTTAGTTCTTTGAAAATTGTTACTCGTCTCCTTTTTTTATTTGTTTTGTCACTAAAACTAACATCTGGAGAAATAAATCTATCCATATAAAATTTTTCTCTTATATGATCAAATACGATACCAAAACCTTGTTAAATTTAATATTATATACAGGTGTACGAAGAATGTCTTGGAAAACTAGTGTTTATTATATTAAAGGTAACTTTATTTACTGTACGCGGTAACAGCCAGGGGTTTAGAAATTAAATGAGTTATGTATTTAAGGAAAATTCTCTACATATATAAGATTATACTAAAAACTTCTTAGTAGCATTATTCGTCTTAAAATAAATGTGTGGTGGTTATTCTGTTCTAAGAAATGTAATATGTATTTAGTAGTCTTCCAACAATTAATTTCAATAGTGAATCCAATGTGTGTAATTATTTTAAACAAACTGTGTTTTATATGTAAAAAAGGATTTTTAAGAATCGTCATAGATATTGAAGGCTCTGCAATAAATTGAAACTTTCGTAAAGTTTAAATCTCAGTCATTTACATATAAAAATATTAAAGAAAGTTTTTTAGCATTTTTGATAGTATTAAATTTGATAAAAATTTAATACTATCAAATCGTAGACTGTACGATTGAGTATTTTTATGGTTAGCTAATTATAAGTTTAAATCAAGTTGAAATGGTTGAGTCACGAAATGACTTGAACAAAAGTGAATTCTTCGCCGTGGTAGTTGCTAGTGTTTTGCAAACTTGATGGTTCTTCTCATCACGACGTCCTCGTGGCTCGTGATATTGCTTAATTAAAAAACGACTGGAATGTATCACAGATTACGTGAACACTATTTAACTTAGAATTAACTCGGAACTAAGTTTGTATTTAGTTTCTTGCTGAAGTTTCTGACTTAAATGACGAGTGTTTTTTCTCTTAGATAACTAACTGGATGTGTTTTGATAGAAAAATCATCGTAGTATACATTTCAGTTACTAATATATTTATTAATTATTTCTATATATAAAATCTTTTTTAAATTCATTTTTAATTAACCCGAAAAACTTTTTGTATATCGTATTTTATATTTCTTTTTATTTATGACGTATAATGTCAAAACTAATATTTTAAACAACATACACGCAGCATTATTTTAAATTACCTGTAAATATTAAGCAACTAATTATAATAATTTGTTGAAAAACTTTTTTTAAGTCACATTAACGGATAAAGTTACTTAATTCAATATAATTGCTTAAAACAGTGATTCAAATTACTCATTATCTAATACTATTAACAATACAAAAGAATTATCAGTACCCACTAATTTTTAATTTTAGTTTTGGCTCATATTTTTAAGATTATATCTTCTCATAAATCAAGTTATTGTTCGTGAAGTATATAATTAATTATTAATATTATTTTGTTATATCTTGATATTATTTTATTTTAATATATAAAGTCGACCTTAACACTATATCATCTATTCGATGACCTTTGCCGTTCCAATAATGTAGGAACTTCTATGCGACCTCTTTAAATGCGAATGAATCATAACGTATATAATATGAAATCTAATCTGGCATTGTTTTAAAACGGTTAAATCAAAACAATTATTTTAATACGAACATCAACGCCATCTATTGGCAGGTAGAAGAACTTTGGTAGGCCTAATACTTAGGCTGAATTAAAAAATCCATATTTCCTTTGAAAATTTATTTCAAGTTATAATTAAAAACGTTTACTACTTATATTATTCTAACAGATATTATTCTCATTAAGTTTTATCGCTTCACGACTAACGCCATCTACCGTCCAATTGCTGTACCGCAGAGGAATTAAATTCTAAAGTTTTTTTATTGTTCGACGTTCATTTATTATATTCGAGTGTTAAAAAAGTTTGTCTTTTTTTATGATCATCATAAAATACTTTCCCGCCAGTGCCGGGAATCGTAAAATGTTGAGAGCTTGTGTAGGGTCGATTAAATTGTGTCGTGGAGCGTTTATAAAAAACTTCGATAATTATTCCCTAGTACGAACATTTAGAAATCATTAAAACTAAACCAAAATAATGTTTTCATTCAATATTATATAGTTTTAAATTATATTATTGCTTGATGTGTGTTATGTGTAATTTTCGTCATATTTTGACAGTGTTTTTACTTAAATAATAAAGTGTAAAGAATTAAATTTTCCCTTAACTTTAAAATCATGTGTATTTATTTTTGTGTGAAATTGGGTTTATTTCATCGTAAATATTTTTTCTTGTAGTTTTAGTTAAATGTTTATTTATAAATATTGAATCTTCCGAGTTCGTTATTTAATATAATTGGTACAATAATAACTTATATATAGAATTTTGTCATCTATAATAATATAACATTCATATATACATATATAGATTCATTAAAATGCGGTAAACGGTGTGGGAATACGAACAGAATGGCCATGCGGGCACCATGCCAATTTTTACTACACCGACCATTCACTAAGATCCGTGACAACTAACTGTGACCATCCCACAACAGCTCGTCTTAAAATGGTCGCTCTGGGTCACTGACATAACACTAAACTTGTACATTTAACAGAATACCATTTAAAACTAGTGGATGGTCACAGTTTTCATTTCAATCTCACCTAACTCTTTCTCTTTTGGAATTTAACCAATTTATAATATACTCAATTTAATATTATCAACTTTATTTGCGTATGTGTAAGTCTTAATTTCGCTAAACATTATTTTCCAAAATTCTTATTATTTAATTTAATATTAGCTTAAACAATCAAGCATACTGCATATTCGATTAAGTCGGATACCAATCAGTACTTAATTGATGTAAGACAGTATACCGGAGATTTGATTTGTGCCTGCATTTTAGTAAAATTATGATTGATTTATGAAATTATTTATTTATATTTAAATACAATGAAAATTATTCGATATTTTGCATGAGTATTGTAATCTTTATGTATAAAAATGTATTCTCAAAAGCTATAAAGCTTTCGTGTTATGCTCGTGTGTACCCGACGCGCTGATGGCATGCGGAATTGTGGGTCACGTGACTTTGTATTGAATATTTTATTGTATATTGTTCATTCATACTAGGTTAGAGTCCACCTGTAATAGAATTGTAAATAATGTTGCATACTTGCTATAATAAATTTAAATAGCTCTTTGTTGGACGCGGATTTAGAATTTTCATTGTATTATATGGAGAGATTTCCGACTTGAATTTATTATATAATATCATAGTTATTGTATATTTGAAATTAAAAATGTATATTTTTGTACGAAATGGATATTCATAATAAGTAACGTCCAAATGCAAATATCCATTAATTGGAATGTATAGGTATTTAATCACGTAATAATTTGATGTTAGGTGTATCACAAAGGTATAGTGCTAAAAAGTCTAGCTGCTCTAGTGTAAACTCCCCTTTATCAGTGTCATACGAAATTTGCGAAGAAAATATTTATATTTATAGCGCCAAAATACTATTTGGTATTCAATAGTTTATATAGACTTTATTTTAATTAATACCTATTACTTATATAATCGAAAAATTTTGTATCATTATTCGATTATTTTTTTTATTTTTAATACTTTTAGATACAATAATTTATTATTACAATCACTCAGACTGCAACTTATTATGTATGCTATTAGACAATGCCATTACGACTTAAATGGTTACCCAAATACGCAATCGTCACTGTTACAATATCCGTATCATATATATACAGGCGAAATGAGTGTGTATTTAAATGAAGAGGCACAAAATTCTTGCCATTTTAAACTATTGCTTTAGTTATAAACCTGTTCTTATGCCCTTTACTATGTTACTATGTATATTTCCAGGCCGCCAGCCCACCACGGCGCCTCATTGCTTGCTGGCGTGGGTGCTGTACCATCATACGCTCCACCGGGCAGAGCATTCTTCACACCACCATTGCCGCCGGAGTATAGGAATAACCCGTTCGCTGATAAGCCGACACTTAGAGGTAAAAATACATAGGGTTCTCTCTTAAACTAACCATTATTTTTACTAATACATATTCGATTTGACAGATTGTTTTGTTGTGTTACTTCGTGAATGTTGGCAGTCTTGTTTTTTTGAATAGAATGTCTAAAATTTCAAGTATGTTTTAAATTTCCAGGCACAAACACAGATGGGAACAGTTATCTCAACAGACGGCCTATACCACCACCCTCTCTCGGACCAGGTCATGAACGGATCCCTATTAGACCGCCCGGACAGGTAAAAGACTCAGAGAAAACTGACGACATTCTAATTAAATTAATCAAAACTAACTCGTTTCCCAAAGAACTGTAATTAAACTTCGGAACTACCTAACTTTGCTACGTTTTCGGAATAATCTGACCTAAATTAAAAACGGGACCACTACAAACATGTCCGATTGCCTCACTGGAATCCACTTGAACAGTGAATTTACCAATTTTACAGGAAACGTCCTCGCCGCAAGTGCCGGCTCCCCCGCCCGCGCCGCCCCTCCCGCCAGTCGGACTCGAGCCGAAGAAAAAAGCACTGAACACTCCTAGCTTTAAGGTACATTATAAAATGATATCACGAATACAACCAACTACCCAACTCGTCACAATCCAAATGCACTTTTGTTGTTGTAATGCAATTTGCTCAAATCGAATGTCGTAGAACAACTCGTTCATAATAATGATCGCGTGTTGAGGCGGTTGTGACTTGTTGTGAAATCGATTTAGTTTTTATATGCTCACTTTTTATTTCCAGCCCGACGAGTTGGACGGTGATAAACATGGTACGGATCAGGCGAACTTCACGGATTTTGTACCGAATTCGCTGAACATCCCAACTATTTCGAGGATACTATCCGGCTCGAATGGTAGGAAAGAAGATATTCCCGATGTTCTTCTGAGAACGGTTACTGCGAAGCCTCAACACAGTCCGGAAAAAACATCCAAGAGCGATATATTTGTGATGAAAGACGCTGGTGTTACACTCAGTGATACTAACAAGGATAGCTCAACGGAAGGCGTGCTAGCAGTTCTTGATCCGGACATGAATAACTTAGATAGGCCTTTGATTATAGAACAAAATAGCGAGACCAACACTAGAAGAAATCTGCAGTACGCCACAAACAAACAGGCGGATAGAAATGACAGTAGAAAAGATGATTACACACCAGCTACAACAATGGGCTTTGAACTTAGCGATCCTGAAATGTCCACTGAGAGATATCACAACTTAGCGAACGTTAATTCAGATAAGAAGATTCTGAAACACGACAAGAGCAATGGTCCAGTACAAAGTCCGAGTACAACATTAGATCTAGCGTGGAATGTTCACATATATTCATCCACATTCATGTTTACTATACTAGCTGGTTTCTCAATATTCAAGATCATCAAATACGATAAAACCACACATCTCTTCAATCAGTACTATTTCATAATAATTCACTTGATACTAGTATTCGTCTGTCTCATGAGAATATTCTACATGTTCTATGATCCTTACAACATTAACTACTCACTTCCTGTATTCATAAGCGAGATTCTTCTTCACGTTCCCGAAATATTTCTCAGCATAGCATTCGCTTCAACAATTTTATTCCTCACGACCAGATTCAATTTCAAGCCATCGTGCTGCGCGTTTCTGTTTCGTTCTAGAACTGTAATAGTAGGCGGTAGTATACATTTATTGTTCTGTGTAATGTTGCATATCCTTGAAAATAGTAATACAATTATTAGGACCCACCAGGGCGTCGAAAAAAGGGTATTAGGTCTAACTTGTCAAATAATATTTATCATGGCATGCTTAACTCTCGGGCTATGCTACCTCTACGTGTATAAAATGCTTAAAGCAGTTTTGAAAAAGAAAAGTCACACTTATGTTCACGGCAACCAAAATCTCTACCAGGCTATCCACATTAACTTGGCAACGGCCTTGCTTTTCCTTTTAATGGCAATCCTACAGATTTATGGTACAGTTAGCATATATCAAGTTACTATGACTAAATTCGATTGGATACAGTGGGGCTATCAGTTCTCGTTGCGTTTGATCGAGATCAGCGTTATAGCCCTTATATCCTGGGTGATAAGTCTGAAACTCGACGATCAAATATCTGGAATGAATATATTCCCTTGTACGGCGGGATCTAGTAATGAGCAATTTGAATCAGACTATCCAGCCGTATGTAATGCGAACACCAATCTCCATACATACACTCTTAGAACAGGTAAACCAATTTACGAGACCGCTGGTCCGCATCCCAGTATACCCGAACAATGCTATCCCATAGAACATCCGAGGTATCAGTTAAATACATTAGCTGTTAACTGCGATAATAATTCGGGCAACGAAAACTATTCCGGTAATAGTTCAATCGCGAACGCTGCTCACAGTAGTTCAACAGAATCTAGTAATGCTCCATCCAGCCAGGGCGTGACCAATCATCTGATCAAACACCATCCCAATATGGCAGGTTACAATGGGATAGAATCTGCATCAGATGATCATTATTCCAACTGCGATCCCGCGCTTCAATCCCTACAAGGGGACGATCCCTTGGAACACGAATATAACTTCATCCAATACGGCAGCAACAGCGATTTCATTCGCGACGCTAAAAATCCGAATTATAACGGCTCTAATCGTAGTTCACATAATTTCAAACACATGTCCTACGACCGCGTCTCGTCTAGGACGAATAGCAATCCTCGCAAGAAGCAAAGGGCGAAGAATAAGAACGTCCAAAATTCTATGACCATGGGCTACGATCAGGCCATGAGTCACCACTATCACCAACCCCACATGCCTGATGAGTACGGCAATTATAACGCAGAGAATGCCTCCTACCACGCATCGGGCATTCAGACTTTAAACCCAAACAGGAGCTACGAAGGCCCCTGCCATCAGATCAGGTCGTCCCAACGTCGTAATTCACCATCAGCCTCAATAGTGAACTCTAGCGGAAGTCAGAAACGTGGTAAAATCCCCGGCTTCCCCGATAGACCGAAGTCTACAGACTTATACGGTTTCTCTGAGGATCCAAACGATAGAAATCATCCTTGTAGCTTAGGTACTCCTCAACCAGCGCCTAGGAATTGTAGTTACGAAGCGGCCTATTCCCAGCCACAGGACGGGTTAAACCCGGACGAGGGTCCTAGTATGTTGGTCGCCCAAGACGGTTTCGTTAGGTTTAGGCCACTGGATGGCCCCTCGCAAACCTGATTCACCATCAATCTGTCGTCCGCGGCAGAGAATCTAAGTTTTTAGGACGTCAAGTCCCGTGCGACATAGAGTATGCTTGATTATCGGTGTTGCAGTAATTGTATATTGTAAATGAATAGGTAAGCGGTGCTCAAGTGCCGCTGCCTTTTGTAAATAGCGTTTATTTTTCATTTATTTTAGAAAACTTGTAATATATAAGTTTTATAATATCTCGATGACGAGCCACAATTTTATTAAACGAATTACGTAATCAATGTTGAATTATCGTCACACTATCTAGTGTATATTTAAAATGACCATTAATGTTGCCATTATATCATCGTCAGCTTCGTGTCTAAAATAATTATTCCGTCATCATAATCTATGTAGCTTCTATTCGTTTTTAATTCAGCGTTTTTGCTTATTGTAAAATATCTCGCTATCACACATATAAATAAACATACTAATAATATTATTTTAGACACGACAATTGATCATAATTTATAGTTATCAGTCATTTATTATGAAATGACAATTTAAATATATGTGATATCGTAATAAATTTTGTTTTTAAAAACTCTGTCCATAACTTATTTAAGGAATATATCAAATAATGTAACTTCTTAAAGACTTGCCGATATGAAAAAATTAAACATTTGATTCATTCAAATGTTACCAATTCCATAGGCAAGTTCATAAGTACATAGTATGTCGAAGTCTCACTGTTTCACAGTTGTCATAAAATTTTATATCAATAGATATAAGTATGTTGTGTTTATATCACGTTACTATATGTTATTATTTATGCTCCTCATATATAATTTACACATAACTCAATGTTTATTCAGTGTTACCACATTATTGCATCATTTTGAAAGATTTTTAAAAAAACTAGTCACATTAAAATATCTCTTTTCTGCCTTGGAAGTGAATATGCGAATTTTATAACAGTTTAGTGGAGAAATAAAAATTAATATCATGATATACAAACAGATAGAATCGTTATTATACAAGATATAAAATATACATTACGTAAAATGTTGTCACTACAATAGATAGGTTAAATAATTGTGTAAATTAGAAATATAATATTTATGAATAAAAAAAATCAATTTTATTGGTGAATCAATGTTAATTTGGATTAAGCAGTGCTCATATTATCATAATTCCTATGTAAATAAATATATTAAGTGTGGTATATATATTACTTACCGTATGACGCCACTTATTTCTTTTGTATTTGTAAGTTTTGTATATAAAAGGTACTGCGGTATCTAAGTTTTTTAAATTACATTCGTGCGTTCTCTTTCGTTGTAAATTATATATATTTTACTTTTTTTATATATATTTTCAAGACTGTACCTATTTTTATCATTTAACAAATTGACAACTGACATTTATTATGTATAAATTAAAATAAAAAGTATTGCAAAATATAATGTTTCATTTTCTTTTTAACCCTTTATTAAGAAAAGTAGATGATTAAAACTTTTCTTTGTTCCTAGAAATGTATAATATTCATTTAAACTTTATTTAATACGTAAAAGTTATAAATATAAATAAATTAACAATTAAATTAATAATAAATGCAGTTAGAATCTGCGTTTAATATACATTCATTGATGAAAAGACAACTTAAGAGATGCTTTGTTGATGGTCAAGAACAACATTAAAGGTGTGAAGAAATTAAGCAATGGTTTATTTAGTTCTAAATAAGTTGTCATGTGAAAAATCGTGTGATTAATCTTAGATGTCTTTATTCTTTCCGTTTTGATTTTAGCGCCATCTATTGAGACAAACCGGGTTCAGTTGAAATGAAATATTCCTTTTGCTATCGTAACTGAACCAATTATAAAATCCAAGTTTATTCAATTGTTATGTGACATACGGGCTACTAATAATATTGTAGTATACCGGCATTAAGTACAGTATGACATATCAGACCATATAACAAATATGTATTTTGGTTTAAAACTATTTACTTTAAGTACATACATAATTCTTAAATTCAGAGTGATAAGCGCGGGGTGCTTGACATATTAGAGATTATACAATCATTCTCAGTGGAGAGTTATGGAAATGTAGTAAATTCTTACTATAATTGTTTAACCTTCAGCTACGGTAAAATAAACTCTTTGTTATTAAAAATATTTTTAAGTTTTTAGTTCGGTTTTCCATAAAACCGTGTTTTTGTAGTTTTTTTAAGCGATTTTATATTTTTTAGTACGATTTATCAAATTCTTTTTTGTGGACATGCGCAGATCGCACACTAGCTCTGTCCCTTCCTCTCTCATAGAGAATCTATGAAAAGAATATATTAATCCTGGAGGCCCTAACAAGGATGATGGGAAATTGTTAACGAATTATTGCATTGGTCCTTGAGATATATGCAATCTTATTACTACTATTTGAAGACAACAAACAAGAGAAACAAAATAACTTATTTGTGTATACACAATCTGATAGCTAATTAAAACTATACCAATACTTTTAATTAAAACTAGTTATTATCTTTCTTTTTGCCCAATCTCAACTGGTCACACACCTTCCCGTTGTAATTATTTTAATTGTATCATCAACCAACAATAAACGACAACGACAAATTCAAACGACAATTGAAAATGTAGATGAGAAACAATGCAAAATCCTCTAGGATATATGTATTTATGTATTCGCGAATTTTAAAGCGCGTTGTGATGATAAAGCTTACGGTTCCTTAGGAAACCAACATCCCCAAATACTGATTACGAGTAGAGGTCACAGTATTGAAATTTCCATAATTCGTCAATAAATGAATTCACTATTTATTAATTAGTATTTAAAACTTATTCATTTGAGCTTAGAAAGACAAATGACAATATTCAATAATAACAAAATGGCGCGAAAATATATGAACAGTTTACCGACCAATCAGAGAGTCCCGTTTCGTTTGACAATTAACAGTTTCTATGACATTTTAAAATTTAAAAGAATTGAGTTAAGACATCGACATAAGAGATAGTGCTAGACCGAAAGCATAGGCCATCTCTCACTCTTTTCAAATCAAAAAATTACTGCAGATTATATATGTCGATGGGTTAAGGAAACAGTGCATCTCGAACCCTAACACAGGCATAGTTTTTGCACACAACAAGCATACATTTCCTGCATACAAAACGAAATTTGTAGATCGTCTTTGAAGATTTTTGTATGGAAAATAAGCATTTAATGCCTGTTAACAATTAAACATTCGTATTGAAACTAAGAATTACACAATATAGGTTCAGTTTTTACATGGATAGGGTAAGCAAAGCTTATTTGCATCTATAGTATGCATGCCACCGCGAACATACCTAAGATACTTTTTAAGAGTATTTAATATCAAAGTTGTATAATATCAGACACAGAAAAATACAAAAGCTTCTCCTGCAAGCTTATTCAATTCTATTTCATAAATCAAAGTTTCAAATAAACTGTTGTATTCCGATAATTTAATTTATTGTATACATTATGGCAACGTCTTTGTATTTATAAAGGTCACTCCAGAGGGATTCTATATGTCAATATGGAAACAATAATAAAGAGTTTTAACTAACATAAAAACTTACCTATTAATTAATATTCATGCAATGAATGCAGTTAATTTGTATCTGGTTCACCTCGAGTATGTATAATGAAATAAGAATTATCAATTTGTTAAAATGTGTATGTTTCCTCACACCAAATTCATATTAATGGGCATTTGCACTCGAAGAGAACTAAAACTGGACTAAGAGGTTAAAAGGACAGATTCGTGACACAAGATGGATTCTGGGTGTCTTAAGGAATAATAAAAGGTAAGTTTTATTGCTAGTTAAAACTCTCTATTATTGACCTTAGCCGAGAAATCTTTGATTTTTTCATTAAGATATATGTAAAACCATATATAAACAATAACTTAGGAATCATAATAATATTATATATCGAAAAAAATACAAATGATCATTTTGTAAATTCGCTTTATGTCATATTAAAGTCAATATAGATGAGAAATGTTCTATAAAACAATGAAATATTTAACAATAGAAAATGTAATTACAATATACAAATAGTATACCAGTCTTAAAGTCATTAGCTAAATATTAAATTCATTACGAAATTCAATTTTGACAACCGTCAAATTATCAATTAAAATTACCGTAACCAGTACAGAACTTATAAATATTATATACAACTTAACAAAATTAAGATAAATAAATTATAAATATTATATAATTACCTACAAAAATGTCAAATAATTAACTAATTGGATTTATAACAAATTTCATGTCAAAGATAATTGATCAAAAACTAATCGCTACAAGAGTCTATATTGTCATATAATCTGTCATTCATTCTATTTTTTCGCGCCGAAAATTCTTCACCCAATACTTTCATGACTTCAGCATGAGTTTTGCCATTTTTCTTATGTGATCCATAATTTTCTTTGACGAATAACGCAAAGTCGTTAGGACCGCCCTTTCGCGCGGGAGTTGAAACAACGACGCCATCTTTGTTCTTCTTGTTTATAATAATCTCGAAAGTCCCGCGACAATAGCCGCAACATTTTTTCGTTATGTCAATGGATTTGGAATGACGTTTGATACTGAAAATATAATATACATACATATAAATAAAAAAAGTGTTTATTTCTAAATTTATACTATTAGAAATCTGAAATTCATAGTCCTATTACTAAAATCGTAAATAGAATCATTTGAAAGGCCATAAAATTATGAACACAAAAATGTCAGAAAAAGTATTGGTGTACAGCTCCATCTATTGGTGAGTAGTGAAATGAAAATTAATGAACTAAAATCATTTTACACTAAACAAGCATTGAACTGAGAATAGTTCGAAAAAAAACTCAAGTACAAACATTTTATTCAAATTACAAGTTTGTAATCGCCAATCCTTGTACAAGCATGATGATTAATGATTCGTCTCCATTTGAGAAGAGGCCTTTGATCAGTAGTGATGATAAATCTTATATTATATTCTCAAAATGTAGTATTATTTTAATTATTTACCTATAACCACATTGTGTACACTTGTAACAGTATTTATAATGTATCTCCAAATCATGACATCTTGATATTTCTCCCAATTCTGGATACTGCCTTAAGGAACGGGTTGCCCTGGAAAAAGTATTATAATAATAAAAAATGATAGAAAAAACATGTCTTAGACCTTATGAAATAGACAATTTTTATTAAAAATATTGTAAAAGTTATATAAGGCAGTTTTTTTGCTGTCAATACTTGGAAAATACTTATTGCTGTAACCATTTATTGTAAATAAATATTTTTGAGTGGAATACAGTACAAGGAATGTAAAAATGTGTACAAATTAAATAGGATTTATTTATATTTTGTTATATAGATTAATATATTATATAAAGTCATTAATATATTGCAGTTTAGTCATTTAACAATGCCGGCCTTTAGAATTGTACAATGTCATATATACAAATCCATCCAAATTAAACTAATTTTTACTACATATGTCACAACATGCGCCTTAGTAAGTTTACACTTACATAGGGTTGAAATGAGCTAAATTTCAATTAGCTATAGACATTGTAGTAAATTTTTCTACCAAATCAAAGGTAAATTACCATTTCTTCCAAAGAGGTCCATGCCCTGCCCTCAATTCTCCATCAATCAACCAGGTTGCAGCGTGACATAGTTCGTGTATTAATGTATCCCTTAACCTTTGACAATTATCAACAACTTTATTTGATAACTTTATACTCGATGTTCTTATTTTCGTGCCTTTCGATGTTTTTATCAGCTTGTTTGTTGTTGTACTGAAATTTAAATACAGTTTATATTTACATATCCTTGGTCGTATATGTACTTGATCTAATTTGATTATGTATATATTTTTATATAATGATGTCTAAGACTTTGTGAGTATTCATTTAAATAAAACTATTTTAATTGGACCTAGACTATTTTAAACTAGATACTCTCAATGTTTCGGTTACTTTGCAGTAACCATAATCACAAGCAGAAATGATGAGGATTTTTCAAAGTTGGTGCAAAGTAACCAAAATGTTGTGAGCATGGAGTTTAGAATATTAAAAAACAAGTATTATGTATATTCAAAAATATTAGTTTTATTTATTTTTCATACATGAATATTGATATAAAATTTTAGTGACCCTAAATGGACACATAAATTTCTTAATTGTGTAAATTATATCTAATATACAAAATTCTCATGTCGCGGTGTTAGACAGAGAACGCCTCCGAAATGGCTGGACCGATTCTCATGAAATTTTGTGAGCATATTGAGTAGGTCTGAGAATCAGCCAACATCTATTTTTCATACCCCTAAGTCATAAGAGTTGTTCATGCTTAATTTTTTTTAATTTCAGACGAAATTTTGTTTTTTATTTTTTTTAATGTAGCATTAAAAAATACATAAGACTCAAAATTTATAATTTTTTATCTCCAACTAGTAATATTATATAATACTGTGTTATATTACCCAGCGGTACTTCTTAGTTTTGTATCCCAAATTATAGGCATATCTGCTTCGAGGGCATTGTCAAATACATTTTTATTGAACTCCACAAACAATCTCCGCGCCAGTTTTTCTTTGAGTGATTTATAATTGTCTCTGTACTGCATTGCTTCAGTGTGGCAACGCCATGAGGGTACATTGTCTAAAAAAATTATAAAATAAATTATTATACATTGAATTTGACTTAGAAAATTTCTTAATTTGTTTACAAACATGTGACTAGTTTATAAGGTAGTTTCTGTAAATTTCTGAAATTTTATGTTAAATACAACTGCTATTTTATATATTTATATATAACTAGCTTTCCGCCCGCAGCTTCGCCCGCGTGAAGTTCGGTTATATCGCGTTTCCAAGAGAACCTTTCAAAAATCTGACATAAAACTATCCTATGTTCTTTGTCAATGTCAACTCTATCTCTGTACAAAATTTCATTAAAATCAGTTCAGTTGTTTAGGTGTAAAAGCGTAACAGACAGACAGACAGAATTACTTTCGCATTTATAATATTAGTAGGGATTTGTCTACCTGCAAGTGACCCAATAAAAGTACACCTATTAACGACATCATTTTTAGGTGTAACACAAACATTTTTCACTTTCTGTGACAATGAATCAACATCATTTGTCATCACTTCAACAAGCTCGGTAACAGTCATTGATTTTTTCTTCTTGGATGTCGTTTTAAGTTTAGATTTAAGTTTAGGAGGTTCAGGAGTACTCGGTACTTTTTCTGTAAAAAGCTTCTTCTTTGATTTCTTATCACTATTCAATACTTCTACTCGTCTTTTGGTTTCCGATTCCATCAAATACAACTGTTTATTTCTTTCCAAGTCACTTTTAATATTCTCTTTGTCATCATCGTTGAAATTTAACTTCTTTGAGATACCGTTTAAGTTTTTGTGATTTTGTTGTAAGGTTTTGAAGAGTGACGGTATCGATTTCCATGTTTCTCCGTATAAATCGCTAAGAAGTTTCTGTTGTGACTGGTGTATTTTCTTTATGGAGCACTGCTCTGAAGATTTGCATGCTTTATCTTGAGGTGTTGATGGTAAAGGATCATTTTTTGGTGTTGCACACAGAATATTTTGAGCGGGCGACCAACCTCCTGTACTTGGTCTATTATCTTTGGAGTTTACTGGCGATGTAAATTCTAAAGTAGCATTGAATGAAGCCTGAAAAATTAAACAAGATTCTTATTATATTATGTATGGTAAATTTCTAGTTTTTATGAGGTGGTAAATTACTTGTATGCTGTAAGATATAAAAATAACACAATTTCATATTAAAAGTAATTTTGGTACATAATTTTAAGTAGATGTCTTCAACAACTTACATTTCCTGATTTACTTGGTTCCTTATCCAAATTAAGACACGGAATATCTTCACAGAATTCAGATGAATCATTAATAGTTACAGGAGAATATGTCTTTGCAGCTTTTATCTATAAATACAATTCACTATATAATATACATCCATTTTGATTTAATTATTCTTACTAAGTATTCGTAACCGTAGTACACTTACGTTAGTAAATTCAAACCGTAATTTATCAAATGAATCATCAAGAATTATAACATCCGCTTCAGAATGTATATTCTTTTGCGTTGATATTTGTTTTACACCGTTTTTCTTCAAAGACAATTGTAAAAACCCTGTAAAAATTATGATATGATAACACGTTTTTAATTTCGTATATTTTGTTATTAACGTTATTGTAGATGTAAACTTACGATTCCGTGGTTTAGTTTGAGACTTAGCGTTATCCATTTTAATAGATTCAGTAAACAGAAATGTTGTACATGTCTTAATAAAGATACATTTTATAAAATATTTTTAAAAAACACCAGCCGTTAGAGAATAGTGGTATGAATTCTGACTTTGACATTTCTAGTTCATAGTTCATTCAATGTTCAACCACAGTTTTTTTTTTTGGTTATGTTCGTTCCGTTCAGATCAGGCAAAGAGAACAATGCCCATACACCCATACAGCCATGTCTTTTGTATTTTGTATCTTTAATTTTTTTTAAATGTCTTAATCTCCTTTTTTACTTTATTTTTTATTTATTTTAGTTTTTGTATCATCTTAAAACATTTTTTTAATTATAAGGCCGAAGCCATGTCTTTATTGAAAATATATTTTTTTGTCAAATTCTTGTTTTTTTTTTTACATTCCGTCTTTTTTCAATATCAAGTCCTTGTAATGTCATTTTTAGTACAATAATTAATTTGTCAAAATCGATATAACAGTCAAATTCTGAAAATAGCTGAAAGCAAATATCTTAAACAAAACGAAAAAAATAGTATTATATACCTACATATGTACAAATACCTAACAATTAGATTTCATTTATAGTAGAAAAAATAAAGCCATAAACTAGCAAGAAGCATTCTTGAATGCTTAGTATTTGCTGAAGGGAGCCCGGGATATCTTCAGCAGTTTAAAAATACTTAAAAGTTGGTCTACAAGGACCATCCTTTGAATACTAAACTGTGGACAATCAAAAAATATATGTTCGAGGGTTTCATCAGCACTATTGCAATATCTACAAATTGAAGAGTCAAAAACATCAATCCTAAAAAGGTGAGCACCAAAACTACAATGTCCCAGATGCAAACGACAGATTGTGGTATAATACTTTCTATGGCTATAGTCACTACCCCGGGTAAACCAGGGAGAAGAGACCTTTTTCTTTATTGTAGCGAACCATTTTCCTTTTACCTTTACCACCTGATGCCATAAGTTGTAAAATTCTTTCTGTAACTTGAGTTTGATGAGGGATAGAGTGTTTGAATAAGGAATTGGGAAATTTAAAAAGCTATGACTTAATTGATTGTGGGTCGGATTTGTAATAAATTTAGCTAAATAGTCTGCTTGCTCATTACCATACACACCAATGTGGGCTGGTGTCCAGAATAGGACTATTTGCTTGTTTTTAGACAGTAGGTGATACAACTCTCTTATTTTATATATAATATAGTTCGTTTTTGACTTTCATTGTGGAATTTGTAGTGCCATTAATAAACTTAAACTACCCGTTATTATAATCCACTTATTATAATCCACTTAATGAGTCTGTTTTGAATGTGCTCCATAGCTGTATACACAGCTATGGACTCAGTGGAGTATATGCTTGTGAGTTGATTCAGCCTATGACCAAATCCACTTTTGATCTGACTATCATAGACAGCTATGGAGACTGCGTCATTGTTCCTAGACCCATCTGTATACATCTGATAATATCCCTGCCACCTATCAAGTTCCCTATAAATGTCTTCCTTAAAGTATAAGGAAGAGTTTTGGCTACAATTTTAATCTGAATAAATTTTGATTCATATAACCCAGAGTAACAAGGCCATACCATGCTAGAAAAAATAATGTGTTTATTAAAAATTTGTTCTGTTTCAGAAAAAACCTTGGAACAAATATGAATTAATATTGGCAGTCCTGTTAATAGTGTCGAGCAGTTTAACAAGAAGTGGATGGTTACTAATGGAGAGCCACCTTGCAAAAAATTTTGATTGTAAGTATTTAAAACTAAGTACTAATGGAGGTATATTACATTCCACCTGCATTGACACTATGGGAGTAGTTTGCATGGCACCCATTATAATATGCAAACATTTATTTTGTATCTTTTCTAATTTATCTACTATAGTTCTTACCCCTGCAAAACACAAAAAGGCATATTCAAAATGACTCCTTACTAATGATTTATACAATGTTAATGGAATCCTTGGATCAGCACCCCAATATGTGTCTGTTAAAGATTTTAAAACATTACAAGCATTTAAAGCTCGAGATTCTAGAGTTTTAGCATACTTACTCCATCTAGGTTTGTTTGTAAAAATAACACCTAAAAACTTTACAGAGCTCTCTACAGACATTCCATTATTATTGAACAAAATATTTACATTCCTATTTCTAATACCATTTTTTGAAAAGACAACAACTTTTTTCATTGCTGACCTCCAGGCCAAGGCTATCAAAATAGTTCTTTCGTCTTTGGAGACCAACATTGAGGACTGATTGTACACTTGCTGATTGCAAACTGCAGATTAGAAACTTCACACCCCAGAGTTGAATTTAGCAAATGTATGAATAGGATAAAAAGCAGTGAGCTCAATACACCACCTTGTGATACACCCCTACAAGAATATTTTGGACCAAATAATTGATTGTTAACATTAACAAACACTTTTCTGTAGTTCAATAAATTAAAATCCAATTTACAACTTTTCCAGGTACCCGTTGTAATAATAAAATTTGTTCAGATCTACATTATTGAAGGCCTCTATAATGTCAAGAAAAACTCCAACTAGTACTTTATTCTCGGAACGAGCATCGTGGATATCCAGACGGAAATGACGTTGACTCTCACAAGCAGAACGGCCACAACAAAAGCCAAACTGATTGTAAGGTAAAAGATTATTACTTTCTATGTGAAAAATTTATCTCTTTACACAAATTAAAGTCTTTGCCAGGTTTTAATATTGGTACTAAACAGTCAGTTTTCCAATCCTCTGGGATAATGGAAGACAACCATAAACTATTTAATAGACTTAAAAAAATAGAGTTTGAACATTTAAAAGTTTAAACATTCTGTAGGAAAGCCAATCCAGGCCACATGAAGAATCTTTTCTTGAGGCTAAAGCAGATTTTATCTCTTGCATAGTAAAACAACTGATTATGTATGAATTATCACTATTTACTCCAAGAACATTATCTATACTTATCTGTTGTGAAACAGTATCCGGTGTGTATTTATATAAAAATGTTTGAACTCAATTGAGGTTAGAAAATAAATTAGAACTCGGAAAGCTTTTTTTGAATTTTCTTATTTTAGTCCAAATGCGATTTATAGATGTCAAACGATTTATTGAGGAGCAGAATTCAGACTAACTTTTACGACGTTCTTCTTTTAAAGTGCGTTTTTTAAAGGCTATTAAGACTAGTTTTGAAATTAATGTATGCGTTCTTGCAATCTTCTACTACTTTTGAACATTTATCATTCCACCAAGGTACTTCTTGACACCTTTTTCTAGGATGGTTATTATTACTATCAGTTGTGTTATGGTTTAAGCTGGGCCCGGAGAATTTGATTGCCAATAGAATAATTGCACAACACTTTCTGTATGAGTCAAGGAGATCACTATTGTCAACTTTAAAGTTCATTAACATTTTATTAACAATTTATTCATAACTATCCCAATTTACTAATTTCAGATTGCTGTGAAAAGGAATGTTGTTCAAGGAAATAGAGGGTTCATGTTGATCTCTTACGAGAGTAAATTTTGTGATAGTTGGCAGATGATAACTGCCTAAAGGGTCCTGAAGAACTTGCCAGTCACAAGAAACAAATAAAGAAGAAGACACCATAGTTAAATCTAGACTGTTTGGTTTCCAAATATGAGAGCCTATAGTTGTTGGTTGACCATTATTTAAAAGTATTAAGTCATGGTCATCCATGGAATTCATAATAGCTCTGCCCCGAGAATCTATGCGACTGCAACCCCAAAAAGTATGATGGGCGTTAAAATCGCCTGCAATTATCAACGGTTTTGGAATACTGTACAATAAACGATCGAACTTCGTCTTTTCAAAAGCAGGAAAACTATTACCAGGACTGTAAAAAGTAACCAAAGAAATGGATTTATGTTTCAGTTTAATAACAATTACTACATTTTGTAACGAATCATCATAAAAAGTATCTAGTTTAGAGAAATGTATACCATTTTTTATTAATATTGCTATAGTGCATTTGATTTAAGCTGAGCTTTGCATTTGTGTGAGTGCACACGGATAGTGTAGGTGTGATGTCAAATTTTTGAATACCACGTTCTTTTCTAGTTTTGAACCGGTTTATTCTGCTTTTATTTCGCCCCGCACCTTCCTCACTTCACCCTTTGTAATGGTAGCAACTTCAAATGTTGAAAATGCAATGTCATGTGAAGAAAAATTTGTATTGTTTTTAAAAAAAATTATTACTTAATATTTTTTTCCCATAATATTTCCATGTGGCCTTTTACAATCTTTGCTTCTTATACTTTTAATCTAGAATAGATCTAGCACTTATGTTATGTATCTATTTAACATATAATAAAATTGAATTTTAAAAGTTTTTTGTGTAACGCTACTTTTACTGTCACGCACACAAATGCAAAGCTCAGCTTAAGTGTAACGGGCTATACGCCATTATGATCATTACCGCAGTCATTCCTAAAAATGGTATAACCACGTAAATTAATTGAATGTTCGTGTTGAGCCAAGTTTCTGAAATAAGAGCTACATGTATATTATTTTGGTATAAAAAATTTTGAAACTCAAGTCTGTTACTTAACTTTGAGCGTTCCACTGTACAATATTTATGATTTGGTGGTTGAATGTGACGATTTGCTGTTTTTATCCTTGATGGTTTCTTTAATAGCTGAGCTAATAAATTATGAACTAATACTTATATTTTGAGTTTTATTTAAAGTTATAACTTTTACTATAGATTCTGTTAATAGAGCCATTGCTACAGAATATATGTAGTATTGCTTGGATTACTTCTTGGGTATTTTTATTAAGGGAGGGAAAATTTAATGAATTTTTTAACGTGTCAGCATATGACTTTGGTTTACTGTTTGCGATTTTCTTTTGCCTTATAAGTTATAGGGCACTGGCTAGAGATGGCAATGTGATTGCCATTACAATTAATGCACTTAGCTTTTTCAACGTTAACCTTGCATTCTTTGAAAGGATGCCCCTCTGTGCATATGGAGCATCG